CCGTTACACCGTAATTTTGATTGAGTTCGGATTTTAAAAAAACGTTTAAATATATCGCCATTCCACCATAATGAATGTTGAATTCGAATTTCGGGAAAATCGAAATGAAACTGCCCAACAAAATATCCGCTCTTTGTACGCAAATTGTGTAAAAGTATGCAATAAGAAGGTCGTGGACCCTCTAGAGGTCACAATTTTTATCCAATTTTGATGAAACTTAAAACATATCTTTCATATCTTTATATCCCAAAGATCTCAGTCCCTTTTGACATTGTCCAACCTCGTGGGTTGTTTCCGGGTCCTCCGGTTTCCTCCCACTGCTAAAGACCCTATGCGCAAGCGAATTATTGAAATAAAAATAAACCATATGTTAGTCCCGAAATGACCTAGTTGAGTCGAGTGGACGTTAAACCCCATTTCTCTCTCTCTCCCTTTTGATATTTGCGCATTTCAGACCATAACATTCTGGATTATTGCCCCTGATTGTACAAAAAATCCGGTTTGTTTTTAGCTTGTTCTCTGCCCATCTCTTGCAAAATGTGGCCGTATCCTGCCTGACAGCCGCTGGGTTTTTTCCGATTTCAAAAACCGTTTAAATATATCACCATTCCACCATAATGAAGGTTGAATTCGAATTTCGGGAAAATCGAAATGAAACTGCCTGACCAAATGGCCGCTCTTTGTACGCAAATTGTGTATACTGCCCTACAAAGGAGAAAGGCAGTATCTGCAACATAATCATAGTGTAGATACTGCCTTCTTCCTTTGCACGGCAGTATAAGTATGGAATACAAAGATTATGGACCCTCTAGAGGTCACAATTTTTATCCGATTTTGATGAAACTTAAAACATATCTTTATAATTATTGAGATTTATATAGCCTACTGCGGTTTTAGAAGGATCTCAAGTTTTTCCTATTCAAGATTTTACAAGTAATCTAGCCCACTTCACTAATGCACAAAAGCACATAAAAAACAAAGCAAACATAGTCATATGATCTTAGTTTGTGGTTTATATTTGGTATGTAATTGATATATTTGTACACGTTTATAAGTCCTTGTATTGTGCACGAGATGGGTCATATGACCACCCCCTCGAAAAATATCTGGAAAATGTATCGTATATGTTATTGTACATGTAAAAACTAGAAACTGTGCAAAATTTGTGGTCAGTAGCTTGAAAATTGACTACCGATAAGTTTTCGAAACAAAATATGTAGGCTATCAATAATTTACTCGAGTTTCAGATATCTTATTTTTCTTTCTAGTGAAGGCCAAATTCCTGGGAATCTAGTGAAGACTGATGCGTTTTCATATTTAACTTACTACCGGCTATCTCTGGATAGGCCAAAGTTGGGTCGATATAACTATTACTTTGTAGCTCCTGGAGCACTTCAAAATCCAGAAAATATACAATTACACCAATTGTTTTTCGGTTTTTAATAATTTTATGGCCAAGTAGCATGCGAACCATGTAATCTGATTGCCATGTTCCTGAAGCAACGACCGCGAGTTTTACAACATCTAGCCGTTGCTTCAATACTCAACAATTCCCGAATTTTTGCGCTTGTTGTGTTTACACGTGACTAATTAGCATTGTCCAATCAGAGGTCTTGGCACATAACACACTGCAAATAAATATGGCGGCCTCCAGAGAAAAAGGAAATAGACAAGTTTACAGTCTTTGTTGATCAACCATGATTTCCAGCAACCTTGACATTGATCGAACCTTGAACTTTGCAACTCGATTGTCACATGTAGACATTTTAGCTAGAAGCGCGAGGCTTGATAATCGTAACCATATTTTTAACGAAGGAATCTGATAGGATCACAAGCTGGGCTTATACCCAATCGAAATTAGTGCTAAAATATGCGGGGTATTACGTGAAGGGCTTGATAAGATGTACGTAGTTAAGGCGAGATCAAGCCTTCTATTGAAGATGTCTGATTGCAGATTCCTAATCTACACAAAAAGTTCTTTACGACATCCGAATTTGAGCTGCATATCTTCAATAGAAAGGTAAAAACAAGATATCTGAAACTCGAGTAAATTATTGATACATATGTTGTTTCGAAAACTTATCGGTAACTCACGAAACTCAAATGCCCGTATCTCAGTCAATTTTCAAGCTACAAACCACACATTTTGCACAGTTTGTAGTTTTTACATGTACAATAACATATATTTTTTCCACATTTTTTCAAGTGGGTCAATTTCAGAAATTTCTGAAAATTGACCCACTTGACATGGAATGACCCCAATACGTTACTAAGGTAGCGGAATGGCAGTGGGACGCATTCGTATTTATACGTTTATGTCATTTCAAATCGTTAAACAGATCATCGTCCATGGCTATATATTATGACTGAGATAAGCTGTAATATACTATTCAAAAAAAAAGTAGGGTATATTTGATTTTTAAGTGTTATTAAAGTCACCTAATGAAACTGACGAAGAAACAAATGACAAAATGAAATGAAGTTCACATTCATCGATTTATTCCAAATGATCGTTAGACTAAGTAAGGCACAGACTGACCATTATAAGGGTAAAATGATACCCGGGGTCAAACAGCAAAGTTACCACAGCATCACAACCAAGTCAGTAACGGGTAAATTCTCCTCTGTTTGCCAAACAAGCATTGATCCGACGTGGCATACTCCTAATGAGACGTCTAAGGTCATTTTGGTCCAGATTGTCCCATTCCTGTTGCAACGCAGCAGCAAGTTCTTGGACATTGGCAGGACGTTGTTGACGTTGACGTAACCTCTGTCCAAGCATGTCCCAGACATGCTCGATGGGGGAGAGGTCGGGACTCAGTGCTGGCCAAGGTAATGTGGTGATGTTCTGTTGTTGGAGGTAACCTGTAACGATCCTGGCCCTGTGACATCTTGCGTTGTCATCCTGGAAGATGAAACGGCGGCCATGACGTCGTGCGAACGGCACAACATGGACTGCCAAGATGTTGTCCCGGTAGTACTGGCCTGTAACACGCCCTGCAACAACATGTAAAGCCGTTCTTCCAGCAACAGTGATGCCTCCCCACACCATAACAGAACCACCCCCAAATCGATCATGTCTGATGACGTTAACGTCTTGGAAGCGCTCGTTTCGACGACGCCACACCCTCCTACGTCTGTCCAAAAAATCAACACTGAACCTTGACTCATCTGAAAACATCACATTGCTCCAGCGTCGATTATCCCAGTGTTGACGATCCCTACACCAACGACGTCTTGCCTGAAGGTGACCCCTATGCAGTCGATTCCGAATCGTCTGGCCACTCACTCTCACACCAGTGTCTGTTTGAAGACGAGCGCTGATCTGATTTGCTGTGATGACACGATTTCTCAAGGCCAAGGTACGGATAAATCGATCCTGGGCTTGAGTTGTCGCCCTTGGTCGACCTGAGCGTGGTCTGTCCTGTACAGATTGTGTATCACGGTATCTGGACCATAGCCTGCTTATGACAGACTGAGAAACATTCATCGTCCGCGCCACAACCGCCTGTGTTGTGCCGATCTGTAGCATGCCAAGGGCACGTAACCTTTCATTTTGGGTAAGCCGACGCATATCAAAATTTGTTTTCTGGTCACTAAAACAATTAAACTGATGTTTCCACCCTGGAATTCAATGCCACAATGACTGTAACATTCAAAGTCAGAGTCGTGCAAATCTTGGGTTGGACCCCCATGATGATCCCAAGCATCACCTGCATTCCATGCGGTAGCTATTGGTGCGTTTGGGCGTCACATGTAACTGGAAATGTTTCTTCTGTTAGGTTCTATAGTGACTTTTTTCGTAGTCATTTGCATATTTTAGTATTATGCCCCCAAAATCAAATATCCCCTACTTTTTTTGAATAGTATATCTTATATTAATTTGCTATATTCGTAAGTGTCTAGGCATAGTGCACGAGCTGAGTCATAATGAGTTACATTTACCATTTAGCAAATTTTTTTTTTTTTTTTTTTTGCTAACGTTAAAATCTATTTCATTAACCTAATTGTTTCTCATCTAAGACACTTGATGTGTTAAACAGACCGTGACACTGGTCCTAGTTAAAACAATAGCAGAATACAGATTAAAACTCTTTGTTGATTAAATGTCAATCAGCCCCAGGGCAACAAATCTTTCTTGTTGAGCTTAGTAAGAGACTTATTACTTATTAATCTCACAAATTATCTATGACGTCAGTTTATGATTCAATGGGATCTGACTACAGTGGGATTAACACTAATAATTGCTCAATGATTGAACAACTATTGTTTGAGGCCTCAATTCGTTTTTGAGGCCCGCTTCCACCGAGATACAGAGTGCATTTAAATCTGACCATAGAGGGATTAACAATTGCCCAATGACCAACTTTTTTTTAACGCCTGCTTACACCGAGATAGGGAGTCCAATGGGCTATTCAAATCGGGTTTCAATCCAGGTGTAAACTGCTGTGGACATTTATTAATATAAAACCCTTATTCCGGACGACTGGCTTGGTGACTGGTAGGTACTGACTGGCCCAGATGGTCTACTTCATTCTGACCAAAAATGGATTAATACATTATGCCTCGTGCAGCTAAGAATCAATATGGGGTTTAACGTCTACTCGACACAAACGAGGGTAGGGACCTTTAGCAGTGGCAGGAAACCAGAGGACCCGGAGAAAAGGCAAGAGGTTGGAGAGGCGACCCTACTCCTTGTCACGTACCAGCAGAGAATCGAAACCAGGCCACTTGACTCAAATGACAGACCTTGCGATCCATCGATCACGCGTTAACCATTTGCACCCCCCCCCCCCACAACTGGTCAGATATACATGTTATACTGTATACTAATTGTTGAGTTATTTTTGTTTGATAAACGATAGAAGTTACTCGAAATCCTTAATTTAAGAAAACCCAAACAAAACACCGCTGTTACACTATTATGACTGCCATACACAGAAGAGTTATTGCCACTTTTCTAAAATAACTATTATCCTTATTATTTTTTTCTATTTCAGGAACTGTTTATATAATTTTTTTACACCAATGGCCGGAATATACCTAAATGCTGTGAAAAAGAAGAAGAATATTGTAGTAATTTTAATATGCATTATTCTTATTTACACGTTGCTAAAGATTGCTTATTTTATACCACCATACGAAACCGAACGGATACGGGTTATTAATTACAGAAAACCTATTAAACCATGGTATTTGTCAGATAAAAAACAATTTATAATGACTGCAGAAGATGATGAGACCGTTGTACAACCTACTTCTAATATTACCAAACATATACTTTGGAGAAATATCGCTTCGTATGACATTGATGCATTTAAAAGTCCAGATGTTTTGAAAAAATGCAAAGTGAAAGCGTGTAAAATCCACATAGATCCGATATACCAGACTATATGTGACGCGGTTGTGTTTTATGCAAATGGTTATCCAGATGAATCTCCGCCATTCAGACCACTCAACCAAATATGGATTTTCAATACGATGGAATCTCCGTATAACAATGATCTTAATGCGTGGACGCGACACCATTGGAAGAATCAAATAAATTGGACAATGACCTATAGGTTAGATTCAGATATTAATCTTCATTATGGAAATGTTCGCAAAGCTTCTGTTCCAGAGTCTGTTTTCTCGTTTGAAAACATTCTATTGAAAAAAACGAAATTAGTAGCATGGGTGGTAAGTCACTGCAATACTCCTGTTTTCAGAGAAAACTACGCGGAAGAGTTGTCGAAGTATATACCAGTAGATATTTATGGGTCATGTGGAGATTTTAATGCAACGAAAGGCGACACATTATTTAAACAAATAGAAAATGAATATAAATTTTATTTATCTTTTGAAAACAGTCATTGCTTAGATTATGTTACAGAAAAGTTTTTTAATATTCAAGGCAGAAATATAGTTGCTGTTGTGCGCGGAGCAGCAAATTACACAGAAATATATCCACCAGACACTTTCATAGATGTTAATAATTTTAAATCTCCAAAAGAATTGGCCGATTTTCTTCTTTACTTAGACAAAAATAACGAAGCATACTCACATTATTTATACAGAAAGGCACAGTTTAAATCTCTGCAGAAAGTGCAAACGTTATGTCAGCTATGCGCAATATTACACCAACCTCTAGTTAAACAGAACTACCATCCTGATGTATATGATTGGTTTACACGTGGCACGTGTTATCTCCCTTCAGACGTCCAATTGAATTTTTATCAAAAACTTAAACGCTTATTTAGATAAGTCTGTAATTCTATGCACACCGTGTTCACATAGAATCTAATCTAACTTAACTAAATTCCAGGTCGTCTTTTTTACGGGTCTCAATCAGTATTACGTTTCGTTCTTTTTTTTATACTTTCGATAGCCTCCACTACATGAAGGTATCAAAGACGAGTAAAACAAAACTTTGGGCTATCAAAAAACGAGGTAATTAAGACACGCAGTGTACTACGAGGCAAACTATGCCCGGACAGCAACATCGTTTATGCTTACTCTTCAACGGGTGGGCTTATGGTTTTTCGTGCCATCCGATCAAGTAGTCAATCTTTTTATGATTCTTTTGTTAATTTTTGTTGAACAAACTTTCATTAAATTTTCGTTTTAGATTTCATCGTGATTGTAGTTTTTAGCAAGATTGTACGCCCAGGGGCATGGCGACCGCTAATTTTGATAAAGTTTGGGCCGTGCGAAACATGCTAGAGTTCATTTGTAGTATGTTTCACACTCATTGGGCATTCTGATTTTAACGTTGAAAACTACATTGACACCGCATGATGTTATCCATTTGATAGGGAGCACAAAACGTCAAATGGGGCGCAAAACTCTAAATCTATGACTCAAAGCGCACCATTACCTCCCTTTACTTAGCCCCACCGTATACACGGGGATTAATGTCGGTAATCATTCAAACCCAAAGAAAAGGCTGCACTGGCTGCACATTAAATATAAATGAAAATATGAAATATATCTTGTCAAATGGTACACCATTCTAATGAGATAGCTACACAAAGCGTGGAAATACGCCCACACGCTATTGTTTTTTTTTTCAACTGCAGCTTATCCAAAAGGGAAATTTGGATGTCGAGCCAATTTAATGATTCCGGAACGGGAAGTCGCAGATAAGGTTCATCCTCTCATGCCCCCCCCCCCCCCAAAAAAAAATAAAAAAAATTGAAAGCAATCCGTTAAAAGCTGTAGCATCTGTCGTGTTTACAAGGCTTTCGGCAAAGGCATAGGCGTAGGAGCCGGGGGGGGGGGGCAGGGGGGGGGGGGGCATTTGCCCCCCCCCCCCCCCAACATTTATTTTCGGGCAATGAAAAATTCGACGACCTTTTTTTTTCTATTAACGTTTAGAGAAAAAATATAACTAACTTATTTCTATGAGATCCACACTGCCCGAAAAGTATTTACGCCGAAAAGTATTTTCTCGTCTTTTTCTTGTCCACTGCATGCCCGAAAATATACCCGAAGCTCTCTTATGATATGTATGCCCGAAAAAACGGTATTGATTTCGGGCAATTTTCTCTTATGCCCCCTGAATTACTTTGAGCTCCTACGCCTATGGGCAAAGGGAGTAAAACTACGGGAGTGAAGGTCTCGGAACAATGAATATCGATAGGGTTTGTCCTCACATAACCACAATGGGTCACATCATATTTGAAAAGAAAAACCTGTAGCCCCCACCGCGTTCATACGATTTTCGGAAAAGGAGCATAATCGGGTACGAAAAGTTATATATCGATAGACTTCGTCCTCTCATGACCACGATACTTCACGCACCATTTGAAAAAAAGTCCGTCAAACACTACCCTCTATCGCGTTCAGTTCACAGAGTGACGACATAATACGCCATAGCTGAAATGTTGGCGTATCAAATTGAAAAAAACATACACCAGAAGTTTTGTAAAGGATGGCGGCAAGAACACGAGATGATGCTCAGTCAAGAAGCATAACTCAATTTCATTTAAAATGTGAATATTTTTAAGGTTGAGCTTTTGACTAGAGCAACAATCCCTTTATAGTTTTTATTTTTAAATCACCAAAACTAAAGCGCTTAGATGGTTTTGTTGAATGGGACAATGACTCGCTACATATTTTTATACGCCCACATTTTCATGTGGACGTATATTGTCGTCGCCTCCGTCCGTCCGGACGTCCGTCCACTCTTTGTTTGTGGTCACTCTACAAATCACAATTGTTATCCGATTTTGGCGAAACTTGAAATGTAGGTCTATCTCCCAAAGATCTGGGTTCTTTGGCATGTCTGACCGTAACTTAATGGACCATGGCCCCTGATTGTACGAAAAATCACGTTTTTAACTTGTGGACACTCTAGAGGTCACAATTTTCATCCGATTTTGATGAAGCTGGAAATGCATGTTTATAACCCAAAGATCTTGGTTCCTTTCGATATTAGCACATATCAAATCGTAACTTCCTAAATGGACCTGATTGTACTAAAATCGTGTTTTTAGCTTGTGGTCCGTCTAGAGGTTAAAATTTTTATCCTATTAAAAAAACGTTCGAATATATCCCGTTACACCATAATTTCGTGAAAATCGGACCAAAACTGCCGGACAAAATGGTCGTCCCTCAAACGCAAATTGTGTAAAAGTATGTAATACCAAGGCTATGAACCCTCTAAAGGTCACAATTTTTATCCGATTTTGATGAAACCTGAAATGCATGTTTATAACCCAAAGATCTTGGTTCCTTTCGATATTCGTGCATATCAGATCGTAACGTCCTGAATTATTACCCTAATCACTTTTCATACGTCCACATTTATAATGTGGATGTATATTGCCGTCACCCCTGTCTGTGTGTATTTATGTATGGGTATGTGTGTGTTTGTCAGTGTGTCGCCTACAGTCCACAATTCTTAACTGGTCGTCTTGAAGCTTTACATACCCTAATGATGATCCCTATTGTTTTTGGTGTAGAGCCACCCCCAGTTTTTTTTATTTGTTTGTTTGTCGTCTACAGACCGCATTTCTTAACGGATCCACTTGAAACTTTCCATACTTTTTCCTGATACCCAAAGGATCATCAATATTGTTTTTGGTGCATGCCCAACCCCACAGTGACAGGGCCACACCTATTTTCTCTTTGTGTGTATGTGTCGACTATGGGCAACAATTCTTAGTGGATCGTCTTGGAAACTTTTCATACTTATTTCTTATACCCTAAGGATGACCTCTTTTATATTTGGTGCATGCCCAACCCCCTGGGGCAAAGTCACGCCCAATTTTTGTGTGTGTCTGTGTGTCGCCTGTAAGCGGCAATTCGTAACAGATCCTTTTAAAACTTTGCATACATATTCCTTATAATTTGGTGAATGTCCGATCCCCAGGGTCAGAGACACACCCACCTTTCTTTGTGTGTGTCTGTTTGCTCCCTACAGACAACAATTCTTAATGGGTCGTCTTGGAACTTGGTATATCTATTCTTTGTAGCCTAAAGACGCCAACTATTGATTTTGGTGCATGTGCCGATCCCCAGGGGCCAGGGACAGATCCACGCCCAATTTTGGAGTGTTGATCGTATACAGGCCGGAATTCTGAATCAGCTAGGAACTTGGCATATGTATTCCTTATAGCCTAATGGCAGCAACTATTGATTTTGGTGCATGTCCCGACCCGCAGGTGTTTAGCCCCTGAAGGCTACAATTCTGAATGAATTGTCTCGGGACGTGGTATATTTATTCCTTATACCCTTAGGACGGTAACTATTGATTTTGGTGCAGCCCCCCCCCCCCTTTGAGTGGTGCCACACCCTCGTTTTGTTAATATTTTGTCTGTAACTGATCTACAGCTTGCAATTATTGACAGATTTGGATCAAATTTGGGTTCCTCCATCATAGGGTTGTACCTATTTATTTTGGTCCATGTCCGACTTCCAGGGGCAGAGCCACGCCCATTTTTTGTGTTTTTGTCTACAGGCTTGAATTCTGAATAAACCATCTTGGAACTTAGCATATTTATTCCTTATAAAGTAAGGATAGCAGCTATTTATTTTTGTGCATGTCCCGACCCCCTGGGGTGTGGTATCACACCCACTTTTTTGGTTAATTTTTTGTCTTTAAATACCCCACAGGTTGCAATTATTATAAAGATTTTGTTCAAATTCAGCATATCAATCATTTCAATAACAGTGTGGTACCTATTTATATTGTTCCATATCCAACCCCCAGCCACACTCAGTTTTTGTGTTTGTCGTCTACAGACTGCAATTCGGAATGGACCATCTTGTAAGCATATTTTTTGGCTTATACCGTAAAGACAGCAATTATTTTTTTTGTGCATGCCCCGTCCCGCTAAGTTGGTGTCGCACCCACTTTTTTGTTCATATTTAGTCTGTAAATTTGGCAAAACAAACCCAACGCCTAGCTTTCTCTGCCTCTTGTCATATTACGCTCGTACAGTCATTGCAGCCATTTCAAACTTCATTCTCTTTAATGTGGACGTATATTGCAGCGTTAGTGATGCTCTTGTTTAGCTTGTGGTCCTTATATAGTGGTCACAATTTTTTATCCAATTTAAAAATACATCACCGTTACACCATAATATTGGTTGAGTTAGAAGTTCGTGAAAATCGGACCAAAATTGCCGGACAAAATGGCCGCACCTCGAACGATTTTAATGAAACTTGAAAGGTATGTTTATAACCCAAATTTCTTGGTTCCTTTCAATATTCGCGCATATCAGACCATGACTTCCTGGATTATGTCCCCTGATTGTACGAAAAATCGCCCTTTTCTTTAGTTTGTTCTCTATTCATCTCTTATTGCCTGGCAACCGCTGGTTGAATTTCGATAGGGATTTAAATCGCCGTAGGGCTGGTGGGATAGGCGCAGTGTGAGATTGTGGCCCTTGTTGGATGCAAGCATTGGCCAAGAAACTTGCCCATTCTGCAAAGAAGAGCTCGGCAATAAAGAAACGGCCATTGTTAGTGAAAACGGTGCAATAAGTATCTATAATGCTAGTCTCGATTATCCAATTGTTGATTTAATCAGAACCAGCGGGCCGGGTTCTAATCCAGTAAATATCGCAGGCTAGCGATGCCATCGAAGGTTAATTATGGCCTGGATCAGTAAATTAATGTCTAATTAATAATTTAGAAAACATTTCAGGCCTAAAGAAAGACCTGCAATGGGCAGATTTAGCTCTTGCATAATGTATGTTTAAGCCATGTAAACTTTCAAGATTTATTAAACAGTGGCCTTCCCATACAGTATAATAGAAATGAAAAGGCCACATCCTTTACTGTCCCACTTTTCTGGTTCAACTGGGTTACGTCATACGTGTTACGAGTGAAATTTTGCCCAGACAGCCGTGCTACTATAACACTATAGGGTTACTTTAGGTCTAAGAATGGTGTTCTGTGTAATATAGAAATCTTTACCTACATGATGTGTGACGAAAACTAGGGTAATGAAGTAGCTTGCATTACTCTGCTACTATCTTAGTCTAACTCGCAGACACTTATGTCAGTATCCATTTCTGGAAAGTAGGGTACTATCGTTCAGTCATCTCGTGCACAGATTAGTACAATTAACTAGAATAATGTGGACGCTAAACGGTGCCCATATGAAACACTTACCCAAAAATGGTAATTGTCCCGCCCTAATAGCTGCTGCATTATACTTCTATATATTATAGAGCTGGTTTGATTTACTTCAGACAATCATTCGGAGCTCAAGGGGAACATACCTATAGCCTCCTAGGGTGAACACATCATCCTAGCTCGAACATTATGTAGAACTATCAAAAAGTATATGGATCTTGCCACGTTTAAGCTGTTAGGTCTGAGTTAGAAAGGATATTAAACTCAGACCGTGGAAATTTTAATAACTGGACCCCGTAGTGCCACACTACGACTAAGCTTACTCATATATCGAATTCCAACTGCAAGGGTTCTTTTACGTGCACGCCAATGTGTACATGGGAACTCGATTTTTTTCGTACCATTCGAACGACTATACGGTGTCACTGGCCAGGCCCTGTCTGGCATCATTGACATGAATTTTCTCGTTCAACACCGGGATCGAACACGGGACCTCCAGGTTAGGGAGCTAAATTGAGGCTCCACGAATGGTATAATAGTAAATCTGATGCAAACTGTAACGTTCTATAATAGCCCAGCAAAATGAAATTGACGCATATTTTAGCAATTCCACGTGTTTTAGAAATCATAGATGGAAGGACGCTACATTCTATGTAGAGCACATTGGTAAAGGAAAATGACTTAAAAGACCTGGCATTCACCCTCGAAATCTATGACTTATCTGTACACCCATTTTTCGGTAAACTGGTAGGATGTCAGTCAGTACACCCAACGCTACCAGAAACCATCAAAAAACCTTTCCTTGCAATTTTTTTATGGGTTGACCCCTTTTTTCTCATAAATTGACAGTTCTAGTATGGCAAGCCATAATAATGTGTTTTGGGTAGTTTACGAAACGGCACTGAAATGGGTTCTGAATAGATAACGTTGTTCAAATAATATTAACAGGATTGATGTGAACTTGTCGTAAATGCTTATAAAGTAACCACTTGCTTTAAGTACATAAAAACAATCTAGTTTATCATCTTATGTGGTCTTTAAAAGCACACACATTTTATATGGGCGTATATTGTCGTCACCCCATTCCATCGATCTGTTTACAGTTCTTGTAAACGTCCTACGGACAATGGTTTAATTTTTTCTCGAATTTGTCGAGATTGTTCGGTCAAGCCATAAAGATAAGCCCTATCGAAATTTAGTGCCGCACACCAATCTTCTGTGGAGTTACTGCCCTTGTTACTGACGAAACTTTCAAACAGATTAAACAACTTATAGTTAGGTTGGGATTGTTCGCCTCGTCCACATCAAAATTCGTAATCACCTAACGGTATGTACCAGAGTTACTGCCACTGGAACTAAGACATTGGGATTTTTCGCAAAATTGATGGAATTGCTCAGCTAGTCCGATTAAAGGATCCATATAGAAATCCAGACTAAAATTTTTATTTATACCCCTACGGAACCAGTCCACCCACCCAACATCATTTTTACCAAATAAGAGACTTTTGTAAGGAAGTGACAAATCACAAACAGTAGTTTATACTTTGAAAGATTTTATTTCAGTCATTCATTTAACAGACATTGACTGAATTTAACAGTTTAAAGAATCAAGCTGTCCGATGTTTACCGACTGTCCAACTTTATTTCCACTGTCGTCTTTACACCAACAGACAGAACCAACGCATTTGTAGTTTTGATAGTTTCCATTTGGTCCACAAGAGAAGAGTTTACCAATCAGCCCAGTTGCAGAATAGGCATGCTGATCTCTGGCACATTCTAAACAAAGACACGCCATTATATATTATGACATTCATGTATTTATATTTCTCAAAAAAGGTCGTACTGTGTGAAATACGCCGAATCTTTAAGTCTAGAAAATAACCTAGTCGAACGGGGTGGGTGGGATGGGGTGGTGTTGGATGGCCGAATGGTTAGCACGTGCGCGCTGTATTATAAGGTCTGCCATTGAGTCAACTGGTGTGTTTTCGATTCCCCGGTTGTACGTGACAAGGAGTAGGGTCGCCTGTCCAACCTCGTAGGTTTTCTCCGGTTTCCTCCCGCTGCTAAAGATCCCTATCCGCAAGCGAATTATTGGATTAAAATTGAACCATATGATAGTCCCCAAATGACCTGGTTTGTGTCGACTGGACCGTTCAAGTCCATCTCTCCCTCCCCCCCCCCCCTCTCTCTCCAAACTAGTCGAACGTACAAAACAAATTATTAAGAAAGGCTCGATTCACTCCGACATCAAGTAAATGAAATTCAATTTCAACTGAAAGGGGTTTTACTCGTTTAACCTTGCATTAGTTTATTCGATGATATCATATAAATGGGCCACTTAAAACAAAGTTGTCTTACCAAGGGTATTTAAAGGAGGTAATTCTACAGGGGGTGCTCGATTTTTCAGTGTGGAATGTTCTAGATTACCATCGAGTGACACGGAATTATTGTCCTGACACAGTTCTGCCTGTCCCGAAATAAAGGTGTGACCAGAACCGTGACGCATTCAAATGCTTCCGCTATGGGGGTGGTCGATACAGTAGAATTTTTAGTTTGCATTTGCTCAGTCGCCGCAAATTCACATGGTCACTTGATTGACCCTTTCGAGGTATTGAGAGAATTATATCCACACACACACCCACACCCACACATTTAATCGAGTATCGCATGGTCGGTCGAGAAATAAACAAAACATCGAGCCAAAAGCATGATTTAAGACTAAGCAAAATAGATAATTTAGCTTTACAAATCTAAGCAGCAACAGCTGTGTTTCGTTGATTTTTACTCTACTCTTCACTGCTGCACTAAGCCACCATAGTTCGTTAAAAGAGTTTTTAGCCTATTTGCCATCAGCCTACTTGCCATTAGCCTACTTGCCATTACTACAGGCCTCTTTATTTTGCAATTATTTTAGTTCCATATTTATAGCTCTGGTTAATCTAGATTGGCGCGGTAATTAAGTGATTTTTGAACACTTTATTAATCAATCGTATTTCGACACGGGCCAAGTTCTTCAATCCAGCAAGAAGCATGTTGACCATTTCAGAATAAAGTTTCTTCATTACAAACTCACCCGCACCTGTCGAAAGAAGACTATCAAGAGGCTCGGAAGTAAATTGGACCCAAGATGAGTCCAACATGGACGCCGCATATTAATGAAGTGATCGGCCAAATGAAGGAAGGTTAAATACAATTTACCATCGACAACTTCAATAAAATATATAAAATCCCCTGGTCTATTAGACAAGCGACCATTATACCCATAAAATCAATTGTTCTGCTATACAATTAGCGACCATTTTGGTGTGTAATAAAAAAATCCACTTCAACTAATCGATGACAGACCTTATGATGCCGTGCTAACCGGTTGGCCATCCAACAACCCCCCCCCCCCCCACCCCCCGAGAGTCAAACTAACCTCCAATGTTAGAAACTTGTCAAAGATATCAACTTCCGGGAAGTTACGAAATCACAACATTAATGAGTCTACAATAATTATATACTGCGGCCGTGTTGGACTCAACTTGGGTCCACATTACCTCTAACCCTATCAATAGATGGGAGACAACTCCGTGATGAAATGAACTCAATTTGTGACTACTGTGACGCAGAATTTAAGCACTACTTACTACAATCCATGTTCTTTGACTCCGATCTGTTTACAGTAAACCCAAGTTGCTGTCCTTCGGGTGACACACAATAGCACCTAGAAATACAAACAAAGTTGGGGGTCACGGTGGCTAAGTGGGCAAGATGCTGGCTCGCAAAATAATGAAACAGTTTAACGGTAGTGGCAAATAATATGACGCAAAGCAGTAGTTATTAGGAATATAACCGTCACACGTCCCTTGACTTTATGGAGGGACCGGGGGTCACGGTGGCTAAGTGGATCGAGTGTTCGATCCCTGCATTAGCCGAGAAAGTTCATCCAGATTTTCCGGCGTGGTTCTCCTTTGTCAGTGATGCAGGACGGGGAGCCCGACAAGGACAACTGTCTAGTCGCTCGGATGGGACGAAAAACAGTTCTATTGTGTTTTTCGAGTTTTATAGGTATGCCAATAACGATCCATTAGAATACCGAAAAATATAGTAGTTTTCTGACAAATATATAACCACGGAGAAATAAGCAAAACAAGACGGTATCTAGATTCAAAGGAGCTAAATCGCAGCGCATTAAATAATGTAATATGAATTAATGTATATAAATATTGAATATCAGAAGCTCATCTTTCCACGTTAAGATAGCAAAACCAATGTTGATTTAAATTAAATTGACCAATAAGTTGTTTTTGCAATGTCGAAAACGGTAGATGATATGTCTGCACATCATTAGATCCAAATAAACAACTGAATATCCCTTAAGCTCATGCTCGTTGTATCATAAGCATAAGGTCTATCATTGAGTCGACTGTACATGACAAGGAATAGGGTCGTCTGTCCAACCCCGTGGGTTTTCTCCGGGTCCTCCGGTTTCCTCCCACTGCTAGTGCTAAAAGACCCCTACGCGCAAGTGGATTATTGAAATGAGATTGCAGCATAGTACCGAAATGATCTAGTTTGTGTCGAGTTGACGTTAACCCCCCCCCCCTCTCTCTCTCTCTCTTAAACTCACCGAGATCCCTCACATTGAACAGCAGAATAAGTACCATCTGTTTCGCATTTTGGTTCCTCAGCGCCTAACATATGTTGTTGGGCCATATATTTCTGGTGAGCTGTTGCGCATGTAACTACAAAATAAATTTCTGATGTATTAATATTTCTATCACCAGTGATTAATTTTTCCTGTGACTAATTATAACGCGGCCAAATCATGCAGGTGGTCAGCCGTTTTGAGTCCACAAAAGCACAATCTGTGCATTATCGAACGCCCCCTATTGAACAACAGCTTAAGAGTAAACTACAGGAAAATAAAATAAAACGAAATGTTGGCATACTTCTTATTAGACTGTTTCTTCGAATCTGTGATTGGAGATGAAATCCCAGATATTTTTTAAATTGGTAAACAAATCGGATTAATTCTATGTTAAAAGTATCTAAAGCTCTCTTTTTTTCATGCACGTCAAATTTGTGTCTTATGGAAGCCTATAACTACCATTCGTAATTTCTACATTTCGCTCAGTCAGAACAGAAGAAGCCACGACAAAATGTAAGAAGACAGAACGCAAATCTAGCCAAAATCGACTCGAAAATTTGAAATTAAGAAAATAAACACACCGCGATATCAGCGCTCTCGTTTTGTCGTGACTTCAACTCTTCGACTTAGACATATTTAGGTATTTATAAATCTCAGTAAGAAGTCTCCAACACGAACGCCAAGCAAAAATGCAACTCGAAAAGTAGAAATTGGGATATTAACACGGTACTTGCCATCTCATTTTGGCTTGCTGTCGTTCTGTCGACTCGTATTTTGCCACGGAAGATACTGTAATGCGTACATTAACAAAATGGTCTATGTGATAGAGTCTAGTATTGATGGCGATGTTTTACAGATTGCATACTTCCGAGGCCAAACTGGAAAGCAGAAGTTAGTAAATTAACACTATGCGATATTAGCGACCTATCATTTTGGCCTGCTGTCGACCTTTTGAATTTCGCATCGGAAGCTTTTGTAGCCTCTAAAACATCCGGACATAAACACGCTTCTGGTACTACTATTGGGGGTTAACGTCCAATCCCAATTTGTCATGCGGTACTTAAAACATGACAATAATTACGTTGTTGAAGCCCGCTTTGTCCAATTTCACGGAACCTTAGTATTTCTTTAATATTTTGCCATATAAGCTCAAATAGATCGTTTGTCGTAGAATATAGGGCGCCAAAAGTCTTCCATTTTGAATGAACTAGTTTTATTTACAAAAATACATCTGGCGTTTCTTCTTTAATTTGCCTAACATCACAGTTTGGCACTTTAGGTTTATATTAATGAAATAATAATCATGTTATAAGTTCCATATACTAATGTTAAAAACGTTTCGTTTCGTATACTATTTAGTCTTAGTAATTTTGTTTTAAAATCAGCCCAATATCGCATTAGATTAGACATTAAATAGACACGAATATCTATCTATGTTGACAGCATGAACTGATCGAGAGGAATTAAGAATCATATAAACCAACCACTGTCTATAATAAACCTTGTTATCTTGGAAGAGTCGACGAAATCGACATTTTTTTTATAACAGCATACTACAATTATAATTCCAAGTATTCGGCTATGACAAATTAAAGTCATTGTGTAAAAAAACCAGTTGTAGTGCGGTGAACGGCTGACGGACATTAATGCCAAAACAATTGCAAAATAATGAAACAGTTTGACGGGAGTGGCAAATAATATGACGCAAAGAAGAAGTGATCTTATAGGAATATAACTGTCACACATCCCTTGACTATATGGAGGTTGGGGGGGGGGGGGGCACGGTGGCTAAACGGGTCGGGTGTTCGATCCTTGCATTGGCCGAGAAAGTTCATCCAGATTTTCCAGCGTGGTTCCCCCTTGTCAGTGATGGACGACGGAGGACCGAGGTCCCGTGTACATATTGGTGTGCACGTAAAAGATCCCTTGACAGTTGGAATTCGATATAAGAGTAGGCCGTAGTGCCGCTGTACGGGCAAAATTTCCCTCATAGCACACTGTATGGCGTATGCCCGTCTCCATTAGCCCAGTTCGGAGCAGAACAGTAGGACGTTAAACCCCATTTCATTTCATTTGACTATATGGGGATTTTTTCATGTTAAATTTGAGGAGGGTTTAGGGAAGATCTATTTTAGTGCCACAGATGACAGAAGTAAGTTCTTAGTTATGTGAAAATAACGTCCTACTGTTGTGCTCCGACTGGCCTAAATGAAGAGGGGTGAAATCCCAAATAAATGAGGTGTTCTAAAAAGAACAAGGTATAATAGCCCTGCCTCGTGTACGAAACTCGTCACTACTCATTGTTAATAGTGACTTATCATATTATAACTTACCAATATCTCGCGTATTCATATTGGCAGATTTCTTGATACACTTTGCATGTAGTATATCACAAGTTAAACCTTCTCCACATTCAGCAGTAGCAGGAACACCAATAAAGATAGATTGCATACATGATTCATTCTCACCTATATAAACAAACAAAGATATCTTAAAGAAGCGTGGTCAATAATCGTATATTTAAGTAGGTGGAGAATCAATCTAATGACTTCTTGGCTTTGTATTATTATAGAAGAGGTCGTTGTCTTGTGATAAGCAATTGTAGCCTTAACATAAATAATTTTGAATGTCGGTATCAAAATGCTATCTGGTATATTATCAGTCTTCGCATCTGTCATCAAATAATTTAATTTATAATATCTTCTGTAACAATTTTGCATTGTCTCCTTCCATTTTTTTTTCAATTTCCGTTTGTTTTGTTGTTTCAACAGCTTTTAACAAAGTTAATGGGCTGGGGTTCATTAGTGGCAAGGTTCTTGAGGATAAGTATTTCGACTGGAATTTGTGGACATATTAAAATTTTATGACAAATATTATTACATGACAATGTAACATATTTTTACACCATGTGTCCTATGGTGTATTAATCGATTTAAAATTAACAACTATGAGAATAGATATACAGGTTAATGGGATAATAGTCTTGAAGGAGTTGACTTTCAAATCAAGGTTTTAACCATATGTTTAAAATGTCATTTGATTCGGGTTTTTTTTTCCGAATTACCAATCGTCACCACATCGACAAACCGTCTTAGTTGCACAATAGATTCCCATATGCATATACATAATGTCTGTGACGGAGAGTCGATGAATTTTGCCAGACAGATTGTAAACGACTAGTCAGGATTTGCCTCTTAATGATACACATCACCTGTTATGTCCAAAGCATTTGTATTTGAACAAATTTCATTACCTAACCGACAATCACTACAGTTTTTGTGGAAAACATTTAGGCGATTTAGAAGAAGACATGGAAAATATACATGTAAATGTGTCCCTTCAAAGTACTAATCAGTAAGGTTCTGTTGAATAGGTTGCACCAACTTCAGTCATAATTATTAAATGTACACATTTTAGGTGGTCGGGTCAACAGGTTCATTTAATTGACAAAATCTAAATAAGTTTAGAAATTTGTTAAAATATATTCATACAGTTTGCGAGTAGCGTCCGAGAGCAAGTCTCTATGTGGCTGAATGTATTATACATTCAGAACCCAGTCAAGATTCATATAAAACTTAGTATGGAATTATTCTTTTAGCCCACAAGTCCAAGCTACACATATTGACACAATCTTTTGGGTTTGTTTGGGGTTTTGGGGGTTTTTTTTTGCGATATATATATAGAGAGAAGGAAATGGGTTTTAACGTCCACTCGACACAAACCAGGTCAATTCGGGACTGACATATGGTTCAATTTTATTTCAATAATTCGCTTACGCGTAGGGGTCTTTAGCAGTGGGAAGAAACCGGAGGGCCAAGAGAAACCCCACGAGGTTGGACAGGCGACCTTACTCCTTGTCACGTACAACCGGGGAATCGAAACCACGCCAGTTGACTCAATGACAGACGTTATGATACAGCGCGCACGCGCTAACCACTCGGCCATCCCCCTTTTGCCAAAGAGCAATCTGATTAAAAAACAGACCTTTATTTCGTTTCGTTTTTTTTTATACTTTCGATGGCCTACACTACATGAAGATCTGACAAGTTGTACTCGAAGGTCCTCTCAGGGGTTACGAGAGGCTTTTGACCTTATGACGCCAGACATTGATTAATCAATCCGCGTTGACTTTTCTAGTGGTTTACCCACAGTTCCGTGCAAGAAACGCCAAGAAGTCGCCGTAACAGATGGTTTCATTGGCTAATACCTCACGCCATTCAGAACGCATATAACAACTCTTCCAGATCCTAGTGTATTACAGACAAATAAAACGAAATTTTAAACTATAAAAAACGAAACGAAAGAGGATCTGGGTTTTCATCAGATTGGCAATAGAGCTGCTGTCTGTGCTTTTGATCCTAACTATATGCACATTTGTTGCTTCGACATCGGTTCCTGAATATAGATGCATCTCTTACCAAGCTGTTTAACACAAACAGGGCAACATCCACAATATCCTGAATTCTTTACCATCCCATCACAATTGTCAACCCTAAGACAGCTTACAGCTGCACATATTCCTGGAGGACAGACTATAGCTTCACTTACTCCCCACCCAGCTACAAGTACTAATAATATTAACTTCATTTTACAACTACTATATTTAATCTAACCGAGATTCTACTCTTATATTCCATAAATGTTCTGCACATATGTTCAGTTCCCATTTTAATCTATTGGGTCTATTTTGAGAGCTTTGAGTGCAGCCTTTGAAATATTTATGCATTAGCACGAAGTGAGAATCGGGGACAAAGAGCACCGGGATGAGTGTACGTTAACCAATTAAAGAGAGGGGTTCAGGCACGTAAACATACTCTAAATATTATCTTACCAAGTTGGGTTATACAAACAGGACAACATCCACAATATCCTGAATTTTTTACTTTTCCAGCACAATTTTCAAGAGCGACACAGTCTACAGCAGCACAAACATTAGGAGGACAGACTATAGCTTCACTTGCTCCCCACAATGCCACAACTACCAATATCATTAACTTCATGTTTTAAACCTCTGATTTTGCAACTATTATAATTTTACTAAATCTATTCTATTTTATACCTATATTATTTACAACATCTGTTTAATTCTCAGCTCTAATCTTTATTCATCTATTTTCATCTATTTTGCAAGAGATCGTTAAAAAATGAAATTAGAACTCCAAGAAGGCGGGGATTACTTCGTTTGAATTAAGAGTGGGTCGGTGTGCATGAGGTGTACGAACATCCACTTCACATTAAGTTTGTCTCATGTTTTTGAAAATAATAAATATCATAGAAACAGATCGTTTGGATGTTTTGAAATCAACAATGTATAAAATATATTTCCTTCGCACTGACGCGTAACATGTGGGTGGAAAGCTTAAAGTAGCTAAGTCTCTAACTCAATATCATACAAAGTCTTACACGTTGAAAACACGAATTATTTGTCAATTCAAATCAACATTGATGTTGTGATCTTACCGGGAAAAGGTAGGCTTCTGATATCCAATATTTTAGACAAAATAACCATTTTACCATTGGTACAGGAATCGTGTACCATAGTGCGTTTCAGCGTCATTTGTAACAAGTGACCAGAAAGATCGAGGCTAGACATATTCTACAACACTCCTATCAAACATCTTATCTGGAGATCATGCGCAATAGATTGGAATAACCAGACGCTAGAAATTGTCATTCGGTTGAGACTCATGCCGTATTTCGCTGGACATAACTGATTTGTAATTAGAGTCAAAACGGAAACAATTGAATGTAAATCAGTTTATAAACAATCCGAATTCCAACTGCCAAGGGATCTTTTACGTGCACGCCAATGTGTACTACTGGCAAGATAATCGAAACAGTTAGCCAAAGACCATTGTTGGTGATAACATCACGGCTTTAAAGGTATTTTTAAAATATTATCTCCTAGTCCACACATGTATAGTTCACACCTCTTTAAGTAATTCCGCGTAATGTTTATCATGATAAATAAAAATTTAGATTAGGCAATTCTCCTAAAATGTAGTTCTTTGAATTTAAATATAAGCGTGTTGAAATTATATTTCTGCAGATATGTCTACAATTTATTTGAAATCGTCAGATCGAGTGTAAGTATTTTTCTAAAATGGACCCATTCTTCATTAAGATAATAAAAAAGACAGAAATGATGGATTTGGGTAATTAGGATTTACAACCGGTGCCATCTCAATGTTAAAAGGCTACCCAAAGCAGGAGAAGGCGAGACAACATCAAAGTGCGAAAGCTACATATTTCGCCATTAGGCATTACACAGTGTTATTAATAATTAAAGCTAACCAATTCGTCAATACCAATCGGCTGCTCGTGGCAAATTTCCACCACAGATTAGAAAGCTCACGGGACGGGGAAACAGACTTATTGCTTCACTCTCCTTTGTTTGTTCCAATTAATTAAGCAAGGGGAGATATATGGTGTTATTTTGATAGAGTTGGTGATTATTGTTTTATTAACACATCATAATTCTAGATTTGGTCTCCATTACTGATTTGAGAGCTGTCATTTATACATTCAATATTACCAAAACGTTTTATCTCGCACCGTTAATAATGTATGAATCGTGATGACTCCATCTTCTATCTGCAGGTGCAAACGTCTACCACCCATCATAGTGTACTACGTCATCAATTACCATGCCGACATGTCATTTTATAAATCTGATGTTATAAGGAGAAATTTACGCACCGAAATCGTCGTTTATTGCATCTTATCTACTTTAGATGATCGGGTCAATAATTATAGTCCGGGTTACGATCATAAGCATTTGAAATGCTTTGCTGTTCTGCTTTAGGCCATGCCCAAAAGAAAAACTCCGACAAGATAACTCAGGATATCAACAACCCCTGCCAATTTGAATTCGTAAAATAAAATGTGGTTTAACGTCCTACTTTTTTATACCGACAGGCCTAATGAAAACGGATTTAAGTTCGTAAAATAGACATATTTGGTTATACCACACTGTTAAAATCATATGTATTTTTACAGTTATAAGTATAGTAAAAATACAGTGCAGGATTTGTCAAATCACATGGTTTGTTAACTTACATTTAAAACGATGTCGATGCATATGAATACAAGGCTTATGTAAACTTACATCAAATTTAATGTAGTAATACAACCATATGTTAGTTTACATTATAATATGAACTGTATATTAACAGAAATGACGTTTGAAGTATTATTTTTACAGAAAATTGTAAATTTACTGTCAAATAGTGATCACATCGGTTAATCCCCCTTTGAACATATCGAATTTTGTGCAAAATATTGACTGTTCTGTCAGTCACTTTAGTCAATTTTAGAGAAATAGGTTATTCAAAATCTGAATGCACCGAACTGGCTAATAAAGACATGGATATGCCATACATTGAGTTGTGTGGGGCATTTTGCTTGGATGGTGTCATACCACCTACTCTTCCATTGTAAGGAGCAGAACAGTAGCACATTAAACCCCATTTCATTTAATTTCTTTATTATATCATCTTAGGTGGAAGTGGACGTAAAACTTCAGAAACGAACAAACGAATTTCTTTATTGTCTGCGATATCATCTCGGTGGAAGCGGGCGTAAAATATAACTATTACTCACACAATTTCTTTACATTTAATTATCGAATGTTGTGTTTCATGCTGGGCTGAAAGTTCCGCAAAACTTTCTGTGTTCGCCAGGATAGAACCTAGGACTAATTAGCCAAGCGGGGACAAACACATTCCTTTTAGTAATGTTACCTAGGCAAATTACATAATATATAATTCTACAATAGTTATGAGGTATTAATACATAAACTCTGTCAAAATACACAATATTCTTTTGTATTAAATGTTCTTGTACAAATTTATGTAAATTAACATCATGATAATTTTACATGTACTACATTTACGTAATTTTACCTTGGATGTATAATAGCTAGAGGTAAAGATACATTACAGACTGTGAAATAACATGCAATGTTAAAATACAGTTATAACGATGGCAATATTTCTGCCAGTTAAAAAAGGGTAAAAATACATAATAATGTATAATAATTTTAACAGTGCGTTACACAAATATTGTGGAATTTACGGACGACTAGCCAACTCCACCTATAAATTTCGGTACTTGTTTTACGCCTTTTACACATATACGTAAACAGCTTTATTTACCAAAATCTATTTGAGACGGCTCGTTTAGTTAGAAACAGTTATATAGTGGAGAATATTTTTGTTAGGTTGTTCATACTTTGATAACTATATCTGCAGTGTAATTTAGCTCCCCAGCAAATTTCCATGATGCACTTTCTTGAATCTAAGCAGCTGATCTTCAATTCCATTTTTTGGGTAATATAATATAATTAATCACAGTTTACTCCACGCTCAAATATACTTGAAATAATTACTTATCATTCAATTTAGAAAACAAAATCAAAATATCAACGTTATAAAATCTCCCGGCTTGGATTCAATCGGATTAAATACAGGCCCTTCAAATGGTTGTAGCTTATTTTGACAACATTCCGTTTATATCACCTTATATACTGAACGGATTCTATCATTTGAACCGATATTCATTTGAAGACTTTCAAATTTCAAAATATTGTACTTTACAAGGGATTAAAATCCTTAAATTACGACCAGACACTTCAACAACTTAAAAACGACAGTCCTATTCACGTGTATTTATATTTACATGACTAAGTAAATATCAACAAATAGACTTATTCAAACCACAAGATATAGATAAGGGGCCAATATATATACGGGTTTATAATTATATTCTTTAATAAAACAAGTCCCATATTTAAATAGTACTTATATAAACCATTAGCAGGAACTGATATGTCGAAAAAACGGTTGGGTGGGTACAATATGTGGATGGATAGATATGTGTCAGTTTCGTATTAAATTCATGATTGTGTACTGACATTAAACGAAATCTGATATTGCCAGGTATAGTTGCTTTTGATTGAAATTACAAATACCATGTGTATATAAACGTGTATACGTCCCCGTAAAACTGTTTTACTATTAAACAGTTTGATTAACTGGTGGGCCCTAAAATCACTCTTGTAAATATTTCATCATTATTGAATTCTTAAATGGGTGGCGTTAGTTTGTGATCATAGTTTAATGGCATTCACCATTAAAGTATCGCAGCTAGTTATATTATATGGGTTATAAATAACTGATACAGCCAACTGATACTCATTAAAAATTTGTAACTATTTATCATGGTTTGTATTGTCTTTAAAGTAGCTAAGTCGCTAACTCAATATCATCCAAAGTCTTCCACATTGAAAACACGAATTATTTGTCAATTTAAATCAACATTAATGTTGTGGTCGTACCGGGATAAGATGGGCTTCTGATATCCAATATTTAGTAGAGAGAGAGAGAGAGAGAGAGAGAGAGAGAGGGGGGGTGTTAACGTCCACTGAACACAAACTAGGTCATTTCGGGACTAACGCATAGTACAATTTTTTTCAATAATTCGATTGCGCATAGGGGTCTTTAGGAGTGGGAGGAAACCGGAGGACCCGGAGAAAACCCACGAGGTTTGGCAGGCGACCCTACTCCTTGTCACGTACAATCGGGGAATCGAAACCACACCAGTTGACTAAATGGCAGACCTTATAATACATCGCGCACGTG